CTCAGGAAACCTTTGCAGGTGTTTTGAGTTGATTAGCTGATTGGCATGTTACCATATTCTAATTTGTTGAGATAAAAAGATAAAAGAACCAAAGACTTAAACTACTTCAGTCTGTGTGCACTGAATTTATTTAATACATGATTTTCATAATTTGACTTGAATTACTGAAATAAATTAACTTTTCCACAACATTCTAATTTATTGAGATGCACCTGTATATGCACTCCAACACATCCCTTTGAACCCTGTCTTTGATATGTTTGAATGGCAGGCTGATCGCTCACGTCAGCTGGGAGCTTCTGTGTACTGTGTTGGAGTGAAGGACTTTAATGAAACCCAGGTGAGGTGACAACCGCACACAGGTCAGAATGATTCAGCCCTTCATTGTGAACAGGTCACCACAATCTTGATCTTTCTGGAACTAAAATCCAATCTAAGAATGAAAGAATACACAAACATTTTTCATGATTTCTCATTCGGTCACAGCTGGCAACAATAGCTGACAGCAAAGATCACGTCTTTCCTGTTAATGATGGCTTTGAAGCCCTGCAAGGGGTCATTGATTCGGTGAGTGAATGGAATAAAATTAAACTATTCCATACAGCTACTCTTATTTCTTTCTACTGATGATTTTATTTATGTTTCAAATGAGCTATGACACTTGTGTTCATGAAACTTATGGTATCAGATGTGTGCTTTTGACACATACTGTAAATAGCATAAATCCAAATTCTATGGCAGAATTTCACGTAAATAAAATAAATAATAAAAAAAAAACGTTTTAAATGATTATGCATTTCAACAAACTCAGTGGCTGAGCGGAAAAAATAAAATCCATCCAAGATGGCACGCAAAGTGAGATAAATGTTATATATATATATAAAAATAAAAAAATACAAATATAAAATTATAAAAATATAAATTGCATTTTACAAATACAATTATAACATTCAATTCAAATAAAACTAAACATGAAATTTAGTTCCCCAAAATTTTTTAAATATCTATTATATCTAACATTTATAATATTATATATAATTGATAATTTTTTTAAACATTACAGTACTAAGCTAATGCCAAACTTTATTTAAATCAATTGTGAGTTGACACATATTTGCTTCAAATCAGTCATTTATGAGGTTGCTGTGACTTGCTTAAAACATTCAACCATAAATGCATTCGTCTTTTCTTGCCTCAGATCCTGAAGAGATCCTGTATAGAAATCCTCGCCGTGGAGCCCTCAAGTATTTGTGCAGGAGGTAAACAGACATCAGACCTGAAGCAAAGACCTAGTTCAGCTAGGAAACAAACACATTTTTTTTGGCCATATACAACCACAAAACAAATCTGAATTTTACAAAAACGATTCAAACCAAAAGAGTTAAGATATTATTTTTGGACAAACAATTCTGTCTGAATGGTTATATTCGATTACAAATGATTTTTTTTAAAGGGGTCATCGGATGCTACATGCACTTTTACAAGTTATTTGAACTGAAATGTGTGTTAGCAGTGTGTGTACACAACCACCCTATAATGATAAAAATCCACCCAGTGGTTTTTTTTAATCTACTAAAATCTTTACCCCTTGCTCAAACCGAGCCGATCTCAGATGCCTGTCTGTGTGATGTCACAAAAACAGGCCCCTCCCACAATAGTTTGATTGACAGTAGCGTTTCAGCACTGACTGGACTGGCGTTTTACCTTAGAACCACCCTGAGTGAGCTGTCATCAGTCCGCCATTGTTTCACCGCCAGAGCAGCTGCCTACAAGAATGACTCCTAAGCGATTGAGGTGTTCTGGTTTTGGATGTAATAATGAACATAGCAGTCGTCAGTTACTCCCAACATCTGAGCCGCTGAAGACGCAGTGGATTATGTTTGTTTTTGAAGGGAATGTGCCCCCGATCTACCTAAATGCATCTATGTTCACACGAATCATTTGTGATCCAGCTTAACCTACAGAAGAAATGAGTAAGGTTTTTTTAATGAATCTTTGCAAATCGCCTTTCATAATAATGTGCTAATTAGCAAGTTTCAAGATGAGTGCGGCTAAAGTAAACAGTCCCTCAGAGAGCAGCTCGGAAGACAGGGGCGGGGTCAGCAGAGCTCATTAACATTTAAAGGAAAATGCTACAAAACCGCTTGCTCTGAAAAGATCTGTTTTTGACATTGTAAAAAATGTGTTTTTTACACTACCATTGAGAAATTTTAACCAAACTATGTTACAGACTTTTCATTTAGACCCTAAAGAATCATATCAACTTGTGGAAAATGGGCATCCGATGTTTAGGACACATGTATTTAACATCAAACACAATGTGTTTCCTCTGTTCCAGAATCTTTTGAGGTGGTAGTTCGAGGGAACGGATTCCTTCACGCCCGTGATGTGAACAGAATCCTTTGCAGTTTCCGTATCAACAACACCCTCACCGTGAGTAAGTGAAAACAGCACAGAACGATTTATCAGCTGTGTGCTGCTGAATTAATAATAGGTTAACCTGTGTTAGCATTAACTGCCAACCGATCTCCTCATTTGATAAGGAGCAAGAGTGAAAGTTGTTAAATCACAGAAGTGAGTCCAGGCCAGGCTAATGTAGCATTGTCATTGCTCATGTGGCAATGCAGACAGTCTTTTGTATGGGTAAATAAGCCAATTGAATCCAAATGTCAGTACGGCTGTCGTGTTTTCAACAATGAGCTAGCATGCCTGCTCGAGAAAGGTTGGCCGCAGCACTTGTAAATCACAAGACTTGACTTCAACATAAACCACATGTGCACAAACACATCCACACACCATTAAAATAACACACCATGGAAAATATTACCAGGATTTTCGTTCAAATATGTTGGAGGTTTTTAATTGTTTTGTATATGTATCGGTTTGATTAGCAAATGCAGAGTTTAACCAATGTCATGAAAAGCACCTTCAAAGCTCTTTTTCACATTTAGGTGAACAATTTCAGTTCTTTTAGGTTATAGCACTAAACTCCCATCGTGCGACTCTTGCATAACCATTACATTGGGTAACTAATAGAATGGCTCAACGCACAGCACTTGGAATGCTGGATTTATCTTGGAAGCGAATGGCTAGAAATTGGTCTGCTGCGGTGTTGATGTCCTAATGATTTCTGAGCTCTGAGCATCTATCCTTCTCTCTCAGCTGCTGTTTTACTTAAAGAATATCAGATGGCATGGGGGAATGCAAAGTCCATCTCACCAGTGTGTGTGTGTGTGTGTGTGCGCGCGCACGAGTCTAGGCCAGGGTAAATAGGCTTTGGAGTCAAACTTTTTCCAGTTTCTCATTTTTCATGTGGAAAAATGATTTTGAATTAAAGAATGTAAAAAAATCTACAGAAAAAAAATTTATTTTTATTTTTTTAACAAGACTATATATGTAACTTTCCTGTAACATAATTAAAAAAAAAACAGTTATTTTAATTTGTAATTGTAATTTCACAGTATTATTGCTTCTACTGTATTGTACTGTACTGGGTTTTGATCAAATAAATATAGCCTTGGTGAACCTAAGAGACTTATTTACTTAGCGACCACAAGCTAATGAATGGTAGTATACTTTATATGTAATTTAAGCACAACTGGAATATATACTTTTTGGTATTTATTTTCTAAATTAACAAAAAAAAAATGTGAACAATTTGATTTAAAATCAAGTCAGCCAGATTTGTCTGTCTCTTTTTCGTTCATAGGACTGCCTCCCTTCATGTCAGTATGAACAACGGCCTGAGTCTCATCTGAACACAGTTGGAGAAATATGATGGATCCTCTGCAATGGGTGAAGTCAGAATGAGAGTCTGATGAAAACATCACAATAATCCACAAGTAATGCACATGACCCCAGTCCATCAGTTAATGTCTTGTGAAGTGAAAAACTGCTTCTCTGTAAGAGACAAATCAAAGACATTTTTTACTTTAATTTAAGTGAGTCCTCAATCAATAATATTGCTGTCTGGTGGGGTGCCATTCCAAGAGCAAACTGGTAGATCGCAGCAGTTTGGTGCTGTTTTTGCTGCGGGGCAGCCGACTGCAGAGGCCAAGCAACAGGGTTGTTGAAGTGCAGAATGTGGGAATGTGACAAGTGTTTCATTATTAACATATGGTAATAAAAACAAATTCAGGTCACATTTCACCCCAGAAACAGAAAAAAATTATAATATATATTAATAAAATATAATAATAATAAATAAAAATAATATTTTTATGTATACATACACACGTGGAATATGTAAATAAATTAAAATGACCAACTATACCATACCATATATACTATATATCAGGGATCCTCAAATCTGGCCCACGAGATCCACTTTCCTGCAGAGTTTCACTCGAACCCCAATCAAACACACCTGAGCATGTTAATCAATGTCTTCAGGATCATTAGAAAATCACAGGTAGGTGAGTTTGGTCAGGGTTGGAGTTAAACCCTGAATCGCATTGGCCCTCCAGGGCAAGATTTCAGTAACCCTGCTGTAATTACCATCATGAAATGTGATTTGTTTTCCAACAAAGTCACAAACAAACAATATTTCTAAGCTAATAAAAGTCAAACAACCATCATCGTTCTTCTCTTTATTGAGCACAGTCATTAAACATACAAAGTAATGGTGGAAAAAGTAAATGAAACACTAGGCTTCTGGTGTCACTAAATGCCAATTGGAGACAGGTATTAGCAAACCAGGAGTCCAATCAATGAAACGAGAATAAAGGTGTTGTTTGGGGCTAAACTGACTGATATAAATACCCAAACAGCGTGGTCAGTGTGCTATTCACAAGCAGCATTAGCTGATGTGAGCCATGCCACGCAAAAAAGACATTTCAGAAGACCTACGATCAAGAGTTGTTGATGTGCATGTAGCTGCAAAGGGTTACAGATTAGTCTCAAAGACTTTAGATATTCATCAGTCCACAGTTAGACAAATTGACTATAAATGCAGATTATATGGTCCTGTGGCTACTCTCCATTGAAGTAAATGCCCAGCCAACATCTATTCAAAGGCACAATGCAGAATGCTCAGTGAAGTGAAAAAGAACCATAGAATAACAACTAAAGACTTGAAGGATTCATTGAAGCTGGTTAACATCTCTGTTCATGAGTCAACCATATAAAAAACATTGAACAGGCATGGTATCCATGGAAGGACACAAAAGAATGAAGCCACTGCTCTCTAAACAAAACATTGCAGCACGCCTAAAGTTTGCCAAAGACCACCTTGACACTCCACAACACTACTGGGAAAATGTCTTGAGGACAAATAGAATTGTTTGGGAAAAGCATGCAGCGCTATGTATGGAGTACAAAGAAAACAGTGTACCAACATGAAAACATCATCCCAACAGTGAAGTATGGTGGAGGGAGCATCATGATTTGGGGCTGCTTTGCTGCCTCTTGACCTGGACCGCTTGCCATTGTGGAGGGGAAAATGAATTCCCAAGTTCATCAGTATATCCTACAGGATAATCTCAAGGTAGCTGTTTGCAAGTTGAAGCTGAGAAAAAGCTGGGTGGTGCAGCAGGATAATGACCCTAAAGATCGAAGTAAATCTACTACAGAATGACTTCGGAGACATAAAATCCACCTTTTAGAGTGACCCAGTCAAGCCCAGACTTCAACCCAATAGATATGCTGTGGAATGACCTCAAGAGAGCCATTCACACCAGACGTCCTAAGAATATGGGTGAGCTGACGCAGTTCTGTAAGGAAGAATGGTCCAAAATTACTCCTGGACGTTGTGCAGGTCTAATACACGGCTACGGGAAGAGCTTGCTTGAGGCATTGCTGCCTAAGGTGGTTCAACCAGTTATTAAAGCACGGTTTCACTTACTTTTTCCACCATCACTTTGTATGTTTAATGGGTGTGTTCAATAAAGACATGAAAAATCATGACTGTTTGTGTTTTATCAGCTTAGTAATATTGTGTTTGTTGATATTTGTGAAGATAAGATCTCATTTCATGACCAATTTAAGCAGAAAGCCAGGAAAATGAAAATAGTTCAATTACTTTTTCTTGCAACTGTGTGTGTGTGTATATATATATAAAATCACACACACACATACTTTTGTTTTTTTAATTGTAACATGCAAGATTTTTGCATGCATCTGGACTTTTTATTTTTTAAGGTGATTTTCATATTCTATAATGCAGTGATTTTTAAATGATCATAAAGATGTGATCATTTACAATTTAAATATTATTACTACTTATTTTTTGCATTACAGTAATAATAAATCACTATTATGAACAATTATAAAAATGATGTCAATGCAACAAAAAATAGGCTTCATTTTCAGTTCAATAAATATATAGACTCATATTTCTTTCCTTTGATTTTGGGCTGAAATGTGACTTTGAAAAATTATTCACAGCTTTCGAGAGATACTATATTTGATTTCAGACGAGATAAAGAAAATGCACTCAATATAAGATGCCTTATTAAGGGGTTCCTGGCTTAGTCACTCACACCGAGATCAAGATTGTGTTTTAAAAAGCTCCTTGCAGCAATTCCTATTAAAATTCTCTCCCTCAAATATATTACACCACACATTTTTTAGTGGAACCCCATCCAGAAGGGTTTGAGTGTGGCACGAGGAAGATTATTCAACATTTATTTCCTTTAGACCATAAATCTCCCCCGGATCTGTTTCTCTGCTCTGTCCATCAGACCGACGGAACGTTCTTGGCCATAGCGCTGCTGATACTGCTGCTGCTGATCACTATGGCGACACTCTGGTGGTTTTGGCCCTTCTGCTGCACAGTGGTAAGTTTTGCACTGAAGCCCCTCATCTCAGCTTTCTTTTTCAAAAGTTACCCCAACCGGAGCCCAAAATCCAGTTATTACGGTGCAGAGAAGTGGTTTTCAAGCAGTTTTTGAGCCCAGTGATGTCTTTTCTGAAGTGCAAATGAATGTGAAATTCTGAGCCATGGAAAAAGTCTTGCTAGTAAGTAAGATGGAATTAAAGGGAATCATTTATTTAAAATAATATTTTGCATTCGAATCTTATTTTCATTCCTTCACAAATGATACCTGTGACAAAGAGCTGTAACAATGATTTTGATAACACTTTACTTGAAGCCTTTATGAATATTGGATTTTAAAGCTGCTCATTATATACTTCTTTTCACAAATAATTGTAGCCAAATGTAAAATGTAGATTGGTTGTTTGTCATACGTTTTAATGCATTATTTCTAAAGGTGTAATAATGAATAGATAATTATTAAATGGTGATATATTAAAGCTGTGGTTATAATTATTCATGAGTTCATACAACTCATTATACGGTCGGTGCATTACTAGGCATAATTGATGCATTACATATACTTCTATAATTCAGTGTATATAAAAGTTTAAAGTTAAGAATTTATTTTCATTCTAATGTCAACAGATTGTCCATGAGCCACCGCCACCAGTCATGGACGACAGTTCGGTAAGAGATGATGGCAACACCTTTGTATAGGGACATATTCTCACTATTAACTAGTTGCTTATTAGCATGCCTATTATTAACATACTGGCTGTTTGTAGGTACTTATAAAGCACATATTCTGTCTCTCTAATCCTATCCAATACCTAAACTTAACAACTACCTCACTAACTATTAATAAGCAGCAAATTAGAAGTTTATTGAGGCAAGTCTTAGTTAATGGTTTGTTAATTGCGAAAATTGGACCTTAAAATTAAGTGTGACCGAGCTGATTTGTTTGTTTCCTGAATCCTGAACCACTTCGAGATCACATATCGCAAAAAGAATCTGATTTTATATGCATCTTCAAACATGAACGTTAGGCAATCTAGTAATTTTAGAGGAAATAATACAATTGTGTCATCATTTACTCACCTTCATGTCATTACAAAATCCTGTAATTTTCTTGATTCTGTGGAAAACAGAAAGAGGTAGTTAGCAAAATGTCCAAGCTGTTATATCTACTGTACACATGCAAAATGGATAGCAGGAGCTGTTAGGAGCACCACAAAAATATTAAGTAGTCTATGTGACTTGTACACTACATTCGAAGTAATCTGAAGCCATTCAGTAATTTTGTGAAACAGACCTATCTGAAAATCTTCCCTTCTGCCTTAGCTCTCAAATCACATTTGTAATTACTTAAATAAGGTTTGAGAAGTAAAGTGGTTTCATGCAAATACATTTTTTTATTTAATTTGTATTTTCAATGCTACGCCTTGGTGTCTTTGCAGGATCAACAGTGTGTTTGGCAGTTCACGGGAGAGATTTGCTTTATTAAAGTCCCCAAGAATTATTAAAACAGAGTCCGGGTGTTGTTCTGTCTCTGTGATCTGCGAGTTTCTGTAAAGCGGAGCTCACGTGTGCTTGCGGAGGAATGTACACACTTACGAGAATGAACGAACAAAACTCCCGCTGCGAGTAGAAAAGCTTACAGTTAATGAAGAGCACTTCTAGATCTGAACAGCACATCTTCTTTAACACAGTTACATCTGTACACCACCTCTCATTGATGTAAAAGCATGTCCCGCCGGCGCACGATTTCCCCATTGATTCTGTGTCGCGATCTGCTCTAAACAGCTGAAAGCCCGGCAGACTCAATGCGCTGTCCGGAATGGCGTCTTTCAGCCAGGTTTCCGTGAAACACAGAGCAGCAGAGTTTGAAAAATCCTTATTTGTCCAGGAGAGCAGAAGGAGCTCGTCCGTTTCGTTGGGTAGAGAGCGGAGGTTCGCCAGATGGATGCTAGGCAACGGCGTTCTGAATCCGCGCTGCCTTAGCTTGACGAGCGCGCCAGCTCGCTTCCCCCATCTGCGCGTCCTGAAGCATTTGATCAGCGCCGCAGCTCCCCCGACTACAAGGTCCAGCAAAACATCATAATAATCGAAAACCGGTGAAATATTGGGTGGTGTGTACTTCCGAATGTCCAGCAATTTGTCTCTGGTGAAACTGATTGCAGGGATATAACTAAAGACAGGACAAACTAACAAAAACATAAAAACAACTGCGGAGCATGCCACGGAGGCAGCCATCAGCGTCTGCGCCATCGCGAAGAGCGATAACCAATGCAGTCTGAGCCGGAAAGAGAATTGATTAGTTCATCTCTCGAGTCTTCGGGTTTTCCAGAGTCGTTCGTTCATCACGTGACAGCCCCATAAGTTTAACCAATGCAGTCTGAGCCAGAAAAAGAATTGATTAGTTCATCTCTCGAGTCTTCGGGTTTTCCAGAGTCGTTCGTTCATCACGTGACAGCCCCATAAGTTTAACCAATGCAGTCTGAGCTGGAAATAGAATTGATTAGTTCATCTCTCGAGTCTTCAGGTTTTTCAGAGTAGTTCGTTTATCACGTGACAGCCCCATAAGCCGAAACCCGAAGACTTGTCTGATAAGAGGTGAGGGGAGCTAATCATAGACTGAAGACTCAGGTAAACAATGAATTAATCTTTTCTGTTTCTTATAGCAGTTTTGTATTGTTTGTAGTGTGATCAACGTTTGCGTAAGTAGTAGACGTATTAGGGAAGTAACACGTAACATTTTAATTATATTTTGCTAAAATTAACGAGACTCAAAGGTCCGAGTCGGTAAAATGATCCGAACTTCCCATCGCTAGGATAATGACAGAGGACAGAGTGTCAGAAAATTATGTGATTTAAAGCAGCACTATGTAACTTTTGGCGCTCTAGCGGTTAATAAACAGAACTGCACACATTCCGCGGAAGAACATTCCAACCGGAGCTACTTCTCTAAGTTTATGTCTATGGCGATTCACGCAGGTATGTGTTACTCCGCAGCGGTGACGACCCGGCCAGGCTATAATAGTCCAAATATAAGTACTTATTATAAGTGTACCGTAGTGATTCGGAATAAGACAAAAACGCGGTTTGGAAATTAATTCATGGTGTACTCGCTCATTATATACATTTTGCAAATTTTGAACACAGAAAAAGTTACATAGTGCTGCTTTAAGTTCTCGAATTTCAGGATTTTGATTAATTCTAATGATTTTCACACTTTTTTTGGACTATGATAAATGTAAAAACCAGAGGAAGAAAAGAAAAGACAAAGAGCAGTTCCACTGTTGAGGAATTTCTGTACTACCTCACCAACGTTATGAATTTTTTAGAACAATTTAATTGTCCATAGCACATTTCAACCTGGACACGTTGTAGCTGTTCCTCTTTCCAAGTCTCCGATTGCTCCTTCAAAACAGGAAATTCCATAAGCTTAAAGCAGGTCTTGCAGTGTCTGAAGTAGCAGTCTGCAGTGGAAGTACAAACCGATCCCTGATTTCTGTACTCAGGGCTCATCGCTCCAAATTTGATATCTGAACTTTTACTTCAGAAAGATCAACTGTACTGTACTGGGGATGGGTCATGATGGTTTAAAATATTCCATATTCCACAACAATATTATGCAACAAGCCCTTTTCAAATGTGCAAATAATAAGAAATGTTTCTTGAGCAGCAAATCAGGATATTAAAATGATTTCTGAAGACTCATGCTACACTGAAAACTGGAGTAATGATGCTGAAAGTTCAGTTACAAATATAATTAAAAAATATATTCAAATAAAAAACTATAAAATTATATTTCACAGTATTACTGTTTTTACTGTATTTTTGATCAAATAAATGCAGCCTTAATGAGCATAAGACTACTTCTTTCAAAACCATTTAAAACAAACTTACCGATCATAAACTTAAATCATGCTTAAAAATGTTTTTAGATATAACAATAAATAATTAAATGGAAAAATTGTTTTAAATGCAACATTCAAATAAATCAGTTTGTCTTTCATTATCCTTTTGCAAGATGCTTCTCTTGTCAGTAGAGTTAAGGTCATTACAGTTCGCACATGGACTGCATTTAAAATTAGTTAATGTATTATTTTGATAAATGTTACATTGTTCTAAACCCTGAAGACAGGGTTTGAGATAAGTGGTGGATCATTAGCAAGTATCAAAAGACTACAAAAGTTTTCTGCAGCTGCCATCTAGGATAGCACTCAAAATAAAAATAAAAGTCAAATTTCAGTTCTTTCTCCTAGGCTCATTAAACATGTTGCAGTCAGACCGTGTGGGAACATATGGAAACCCAATTATGTCTTTCTTATGAGCTATGAAATCCAGATAAATCACTGGAAGGTATAGGCTGACAATTTCCTGTCCGTGCTTGGGAAAGATTATCGTTAGATTGTTTTCATGAGAATAAATAATGACTTTGTTCTTGTGTGCCCTTGAGCATAATTGAATTAAACAAAGGACGCATTAATTTGTAATCAGCTCCTCCAAACACTTCAAATCATCTTTGTAATGCCTAATAATTACACCGTCAGTTTGGCTGGCTCGCATGAGCCACAGCATCTTTTTCCACCCTCTACTGAAACTTTGTTGTAAGCAATATTTTGTTATATTGTTCATCATAATGTTTTTCCAGTGACAATTTAAAACCAACAGAACTTGACATGGAATTACAATCCAATCAATTCTGGATTGATAAAATCAAGTCATTGAATAATTCATGTTAACTTAATATGTCTGTGTTTCTCTGAAGGATGAAGAGGATGAAGCCTACCCAAAGAAGAAATGGCCGACAGTGGACGCCTCGTATTATGGTGGGAGAGGAGTTGGCGGCATCAAAAGAATGGAAGTACGGCAAGGGTGTCTGGAAAGAAAACAACAGCTTTCATTTGCTCCGGTCCACCGCAATGATATGAATGTGTATGTGTGTGTCCAGGTGCGCTGGGGAGATAAGGGATCCACTGAAGAAGGAGCCAAACTGGAGAAGGCAAAGAATGCTCGGGTGAAGATGTCAGAGCAAGAGTTTGAGTTTCCGACCAGTGGGACCCTAAACAATGGCATGCGGAAACCCATCTCTCCTCAGAAGTGGTACTCGCCAATCAAGGTAGATCAGTTTACTTTCAGGGGGACTACAAGAGCAACCACAGGTTTTGTTCACAATATAAAAAAAAAAAACTAAAGCATGACATTTAGATATTCTAAATGTCTTAAAAGTTCAAATTTGTCTTAAAAGCGATACGTTGTCGGCACCAATAGCCTCGCGGTTATTGCTCCAACATACAGCGCAACTGCGCTCACGGTGACCCGAGTTCGAATCCCTGCTCGTGGTCCTTTGCCGATCCCGCTCCCCTCTCTCTTCACCCAATGCTTTCCTGTCTGCTCTACACTGTCCTTTCCAAATAAAGGCATAAAAAAGCCCATAAATAAATCTTTAAAAAAAAAAACTGATCCGTTATTTGCTAGTACCTCAAGATGTGCTGCAAAACCATTACGATTTGATTAGATTCAGGGGCATGCAATTGATATATTCATGTTACAATATTGTGTCTCTATTTTACACAACTAGTTACATTTTTAACTAAAAAAAATGCAACCAAAATTTAACACGAACATTTAATTGAACTTGAATATAGCAAATTCTTTATCCCAATTGGGACATCTACAACAAAAATACACTTTAGGTTTTTAAATAATATAGAACAATAAATAATGGCTTGTGCAGTAATATAGTTTTTTTTGTCAATGTTAATATACTCAATTTTTCAAAGTTTTAAATAAATATTATTGGACTACATTTTATAAGAATATACTACTTAATACTTTCTATATTTTAAAAATGTACATTCAGTTCAATGCCTTACTTTCCATTTCTTTGTAATTACTTGTGAAATTTATGAGCAATTTTTTTGAGTGAAAATAGTTTCATAGAAAATCCTACATTAATTTTTTTCAGTGTAGGATATACACAACAAAATAGGTACTCCAGGTGTTGCAAAAATACAGAATGATATAGAGAAATAGATCAAAATAAATAATGTTAAAATAATCAAATCAATTTAAATGACAGCTCTGTGGCAATTTCATCTCTTTTATAACAAACAAGTCTTTTAATATACAGTATCTTATAGATATATATATTTTTCTTGCATTGTGTTGAGAAATCATATCGTTAGTCATTTGATCGATGCATCGATCCATACCGATTGCTTTATTGTTACACACTCTAATAAAGTGGTCTAATAAAGTGATTTTTTTATTCTTAATTTATCAAGTTTTGCTGGTGAACAGCAATAGCATTGACCAGAACCAAACCAGCTCTAACCAGCCTGAACCAGAATGAAAATTCATGCTGGTCTACGTTGGCCAGGGATGGCATCGTAAAACGTGTTAAATTAATACAAAGTAAGCCAGAAAATATTAATTTCCCAGTGCGTCCTTGCAAAAACACAACACAACAGCTACGGATGACCCAGTGCGGTGTCATGCTTACGGTATGGTCATCTGGTGAACAACGAACGACTTGGTCATTCATCAGAAGACTGGAAGGAGCTCAGAAGCAGCGGCGTGTGCTGTGGTGGCCTCAGCCAGTCCGGGAAGCGGTTCTTGCATTTTTTCATAATGTCTCTGTCAGATGGAAGGGGAGGGTTAATTTAAACCAGACACTGAACTGAGCTGACCCAAGGGAGATGAGCTTTGCAGAGCTGGTACATTTCCCAACAAAACAAACTCCTTTTCTCTCTCTCTTCCACCTTCTTTCCTCTGGATTATGTTGGGTGACAGTTCACTCTGAGAGGGAGAAATTAAACACATATAGGTTGAGAGAAATGAAGAGAAGCTTCAGTGTGTATTTGGCCCAGATTCTGCAAAAAATGTACTCAGTAAAGTGATTTTACACCCAAATAAGGAGAAATTTTAATATTCACTGAATTGAAAATACACAGAGTCAGTCAATTCGATGTCTGGGTCACTAAATTCCAACTGCTACTGTTCTACCAGCTTTTTTTTTTTTTTTTGATCCTGACAGGAAATTGGAAAATTAGTGGAACTTCTGTTAACAACGTGCATAAAATAAAATTCAACAGATAAGCCCTCTGTACGTCTCTCTGTAGTCAATTACAGATTACCCTGAAAATCATATTTGCATTGTTGATGAAGTGTGTTTTGCAGCTTGAATTTCTCACCAGCATGCTTTCAAGTGTTGATCTCTTGGAACCGCTGTTGTGTTCGGATCTTTCAGGGGAAACTGGATGCCCTGTGGGTGTGGCTTAGGAGAGGATATGACCGTGTATCGGTGATGAGACCTCAGCCGGGAGAGAAGGTAATGAATAGTGCCATACGTAACACAGATGCACTATCAACTTGTGATTGTCAACTTGTGGCGTATGCACATAACAGGTCAAAGGTATGGAACAATAAACAATAAACAATCTCTTATGCTCACCAAGCTTGCATTTATTTGATTAAAAATACAATGAAAACGGTAATATCGTGATATATTATCACAATTTAAAACAACTCTTTTCTATTTCAATATCATTTCAAATGTAATTTATTCCTGTGATGCAAACTGAATTTGCAACATCATTACTCCAGTCTTCAGTGTCACATAATCCTTCAGAAATCATTCTAAAATGCTTTGATTTAATGCTCAAGAAAGATTTCTTATTATCAATATTAAAAACAGTTGCTGCTTAATGTTTTTGTGGAAACCATGGTACACTAAGAAGTATGGAGTAAGCACCAAAAACAAAACAAAAACAACATTCATATTAATTGAGCACCAAATCAGCATATTAGAATGAAAATTCGGCTGAAAGTTCCATCACAGGAATAAATGACATTTTAAAATATATTTCAGAAA